TTCAGCCTAACTTTGTATGAACGGTTTATGAAGTTTGGGAAAGAAAGGTTTTGCTTTTTTTATACAAAAAAATATGGGAATCTTGCGAAGAAAGAAAGGAGTCAATCAATTTCAAAAAAGTATTTTAACTACAATTTCTACTACTTTCACATACTTGAGTGAAACAATTTTGCTCAAAGGTATATAGTTTCTTCTTTACTATAATAATAATAATGTGAATGTCCAAAGAAAAATATACAATTATCTCAATAATAAGTTGCTAGAATAGATTCACATATAGTGAGTTAAATAACATTAAAGTGTTTCAAGAAATTGATTCTTTCAATGTTTATTATTAGTTTTGATCAGTGAATAAACGAGGTATTCAATATTGGAAGAAAAAGTTTAAATCAATGAATGAAATTATAACTTTAACTTTCGGCATGGTCAGTAAATAACTATAAACTAGACTATGATATGTTTCTTCTCACTAACCTTCCTGGGGTTTAGAAGAATGGGATGTATAACCATTTCCTAATATTTGATCGATGCTGTACACAGCCCTAGGCCTGACTTCTCTTGCCATAACATTTAATTCAGACATCGTAACACTTGTACAACTGAACTTGTCACTGATACAAGAAAAACTATAGTATACGATGACCTATCAACGTGAACTCACAGCTTTATTCACTCGCGTAGAATATTTTGAGGCCTCCCCTTGTTCCTGGTCCAATCAAATGACTGGACACCGCGACTGCGCAATATTTAGCCCTTTTCGGAAAATCGTATTACCTGGAATCATATTCAAATTCTGATCCCTGGTAGGAGTTAATGAAGTAGATGTACCCCTTTTAATATTTAATATCAATATTATTATCAGGTGTTATTGATCAACGATGAAAATTGTCACGTGACTGCCACAATTATTTATTGCAACAAAATATTGATGATTAGAATTGGAATAATAATTGAATCTTCATCGATAATAATGACGTGGATAATGTAACGTTAATTGATATTTTTTTCAATAAATATGAAAGGATATTTTCAAACTGGTATATATTTGAGTTTTATTTATTGAATATCACCCAGTATATGCCTTGCTTAATAATGAACCTGAATGAACAAAAATTTGGTCGTGTTACGCGGATGAATCATTCAAACTGCTTTTTGCGATATTGTCGTTATTTTCAATTATATGTTTTGTACAGTTATGGTAAAAAGCCCCTTTGAAGTGCTAAGAGATTAGAACCACGTTTTTTAACCGTGTCACTTCTTATGATCCAATTCTTTTCAACATTGCTCCATCTGTTTAAAAAATCTGTTCAAAATCTGTTTTTCCGTTAATCAGCTGTCGTCCCCATATGAACGACAACTCTCAGAAGTTGAGGAACTTGTGCGAGCTAAGGACTAACAAGGTCTTACCTTTCAACGTGTGATTCCTGATTCATTGTTGCTTTCAAACCTGTTTTGTTGTATCTCATCGGTATATTTACTAAAACAGTTGCCCAATTTAGCTATTCTTATTACAAAACCAATAATCATGGAGTTATTAGTGACTGCTTGATGTTTATGGTTTATATTTCGTTCTTACCTGCCATACTTGAGTCCCTCCTCCTCAATACACGATCCAAAACCTTAAAATTAACATACTGATGGAAGTTATGAACCGGCACCCAACGTGGGGCCAACATTTTTTGTTACTAATATTGCATTGTTCATACCTCTCATTTTCTCAGTTTGTAAATGTTGATCAATCGATTCTGTTTTCTATTGTTGATAATTTGAATGCAAAATTTCATATCACATAATTATAATAATAATAATAATAATAATAATATTTTATTGGTTCTTCTGGATCATAACTCAATGATATAGAACAAGTCAGTGTAATATGATATAAATAAACTTATAAAAAAGAAAAAATTATGTACATATAGGATATGAACAGTTATGTAAAATTATATATTAAAACTTATAACTAGGTAAAATTATAATATATTAAANCTGGGTAAATACCTTCTTCCAACGAGCAGTTGATGGCAAAAGTTAGTGGGCCTGCAATAAATGACGAACACTTTTTTAAAAGATTAGGACTTATTTCATCATTACCAGTAGATTGAGAGGATTTTAGGTTTTTGATGATATCATTAATTTCTGGTTCTGTTGTTGTTTTAAATGAAAAAGTATAAGGATTGAAGTATCTAAGTGAGGGTTCTTCTGATGATTCTTCAACATTGCTGGCCAGTAGTGTGGGTATGGTATTAAAATATTCTCCCTGGATTATGAAAATTTCACAGTAGGATTTGTCACTTCATATGAAATATAATGGGATTTTTTTGTTCTACGTTGAAATGTTATTTTTTCCAAATTTCTTCACTGATGAAGATTTCCTGGCGTCTGATACTTCAAGAGATCCTGAAGCTCCAGAGGAAGCTCGTGCAGCCCAAGAAAAAAACAAAACATCTCCAGTTCCAGTTGCTCCTGTTGAAGAAAACGATGTTTTTTCTGTTAACCACCTGTCGACAACCTTCAAAAGTCGAAACTTGTGCCAGCTAAGGACTAACGAGGTCTCACCTTTTAACGTGTGATTCCTAACACGGGTTGGACGATAACAAGTGAAAATGTATCGACTTGAACCACTGACTCCCACATCGGGTGATTGAAAGAGTGAACAAAGCACCCTCGCCAGACTGCCCGGCTATCGATCAACGATGATGATACTAATGAAACCCAGACTGTATTATCCACGAAAGTTATGCCAATTTCTTAGGTATCAACGTGTGAGAAAAAGCCTTCAAGACAAAAGCAATACTCTGAGATTCTCACTTCAACACATGTTAGGGAAGTGTTTGTGGAAAAAGAAAGGCGACGTACCAATAAAACCACGAAATTACCAAATCCATCTGCATCAGCTAAGAAACGGCCAAAGCTGAAAGCGATACCAAAAAGAAGCTCTTAAGCGAAAGTTATGTTCAGACTCTTCATCTTCTGTTATGACAATAATGTATGTGATGATGAACTGGATAATGCTGATCCGAAAGAGTTCTGCTCAATTTGTTATGAATTTGGTAAAGACGTGGTGATGTGATACAGGTGCACAATGTGTGGAAAATGGGTGCATCAGGACTGTAGTGGTTGCGATTTCTATCAGGAATAAAATGACGTTTAATGATCAATAACATGTTAATCAAAGGGTGTTTATTAAATATGCTCCATATGCTATTAAATATGCTACAAGAACTGTTGAAAACGACTACCTTCCGCTCGGATAAGAATCCAATCGACTCTAGAACTCTTTCAAAGACACCAGGATCGTTTCTGATCACTTTACGCTCAGCAAATTGAATGTCTGCAGAAGTTTGTAGTAATCGGAATGTTGTTGATAGGTAGCAATGGAATTGTTAGATTTTTTATTACTTGGTAGGTCCAGTGCAGAACAACTACCAAAATTGCTTTTCGCCTCGTATCTTCGAAACAAAGCGTCCTATTAAAAATCATCAGAGAACAAATATCCTAAGAGTAGTCCAAGGAATAGTCCCTTAATTTTTTGCCGCATGTTTAATGAATACTCTGTAAATCTAAATGTATTATTTATCGATAGAATATCATTTCGTGAACTAATTTGAAAATAAAGGATTCTAACAATGATTTGAGGCAATAATGAAATAATGAAAAAAAAACTTTCAAAACAAGCTTTTATTTGAGTGCCCTAAAAAGATCAAAATGAAATTTTAAATCACATTTACCATATTAATTGATGACTTCATAAAATTGACATAATAAAAGCTGCCTATCATGAATGAATGCGTATACAGAATTTCGTGTCACTCCTATTTACCGCTGAGGATCTCTCGTACGGAGCCGATCCTGGCAGCGCATCAGGTCACGTTTATGATTAACATGCATTGTCATCGGTTCTGGACCAGAATGCAAAATTTCAGGTCAATCGGATACCGGGAAGTGGGTAAAATTAAATTGCAAGATTTGTTAACATACATACAAGTCAAGTTAAATAAAAGCTTTTAAAAAAAGCCTAAAATGTACTTGTCGT